GGGGGCGGGGGTTGTGGGGGGGGGGGGGTTAGGCCTCATGTTAATAGGGTGACCCGCGAGTTCCTGTTGGGGCATTTTCAACTGTTTTATATGCTAAAAGTTTGTAATGCATGGACATCTTATAATGTTAATCCCTGCAAGCTAAATGCCACAAGGGAGGAAGGGGGGAGAGAGAGAGAGAGAGAGAGGCACATGGTAGTGCATCACTATCGTCAACAAATTTCCTCATCCATAGGAAACAAAGTACATGCCAATGCATCAATGTCATGACCTACTAAAAGTGGGGATTAAGAGATCTTCTGGGCCAAAGTTGCCAAAACCAGGTGATTATTAGCACCTAATTAATAAAGGGCTTTCGCTTCCAAAACAGATGCAGACTTGTTTGCCCACCCTCCAAAACGAGGTAATAGGTGGATGGTCTAATCATGCTTTGCAAGGCTTACCCAAGTTTTCTGATGAGGGAACATTGTTTTTTTCTTTTTTGGATATGTAAAACAGTGCATTACTAGTGTAGTTCAGTCAATAATTTGAAGGGTTATTTCTACTTCTCACCCTAAAAGATACTAAATTTCCCAATTTGCATCCTAGAAGTTAAACTTTCTCACATTGCACCCTCAATCATGTGAAATTGTAATATGGTACACGGCCAAATGTCTGTTGATATCTCCGTATGTTTTAAGCTCACGTGACAAGCACATATAATCTTGAGGGGTTAATATGTAAAATGCCAAACAAGTTTTGGCGAGTAAATGGTGTGCACAACACACTCCTCTTCATGTATAGATCCAGACAAAAATAGGAAGAAAGAAGAGAAAAAAATAGAAGGAGAGGAAGGGGAAAATAGAGATGTATTGATATTTCTGGTAGGAGAGCTCAAATGATGAAATGAAGACATCATGGAAGCCTTGGGAGGACGTTTGTCACATGTTCTAATCATGAGGTAAATCTGTCCAATTTTTTGCTTTGTTTTGAATGAATTTTGTTCAGAAAATTTGGGCAAATGTTTGCCCAGTTACAAGCAATTAGTTGTGCATTAGTTGTTGTAAAATAATTAGAGAAGACAAACACCAATCTACAAAGTCATTTGTGAATTAGTTGTTGTAAACCTAGTTACAAATTTTGTAGAAATTTCTTTACATATTAACCCCTCAAGATTGCATGTCATGTGAGCTTAAAACAGGCAGAGATATCAATGGACGTCTGGTCATGGACCACATTGAAACAATTTCATACGATTATAGGTGTAATGTGAAAAAATTTAACTTTTAAGGTACAAATTGAAAAAATTAATATCTTTCTAGGTGCAAAGTGGAATTAACCCTAATTTAAAATCAACCTTCACTGCAAGCCTGGAAGGAAACAACCAAAGAGGAACTACATAAAAGGTAAACATAAGATAGAATAGAATACCTAAATTGAGGGACAAAATAGGTCAGTCATTATTTTGGTAATGATTGAACTCTTAATCTCCTGTTGAAATAGTCAAGGATAGAGAATTGGATTAAGTCATGTTGGTATGGTTGAAAGCATTGTGTCACCATGTATTCATTTTAAGACCTATATGCATTACATGTAAACTATAAATCTCGCTCGACTCAGTGATTAACTCGAAAACGTCTCAAATAATTAAGCCCAATCGATTGGGCCATCATCATAAAATTGCAGCATATCATCACGATACGCCCTAATCTCTCGTTATAGTAACTTCTTCCTCTATTTACTATTCAGTGTGTATTGCACGGTAATACTCTGCGACACCAAAACCTATACATCTCAGGACCTCAAATTAATGGTTGATATATATATCACAGACCTTGAACGTTGAACCAAGTTTGTTGGTTAGAGGGACCATTGGTTGTACACCATGGTTTCACACCCATGTGCCATATGTGTACGACCAAGACCATTTCTAATCCAGCATGATGCTGTGTGACACCATTTCTAGACAAAAACACTGAATGGCAATAAAGGCTAGTAAAACAGATGATGCTTAATCCATCGCCAGCCACTTGAAAACGCCAACTCTTTGATTGGTGTCCTCTGTCGGAAGTTACACCACATATTTGGGATTCAGCTCCTGGCAAGTCCTTGAGTGCATTTGCATTTCATTTCGTATTAGGATCTTCAAGAAGGTGGATTTTATGAGTTCTGTGGCTTGTGCATTCTGGCAGAGTTGTCTTTGACAAGGGACCACTTGAACTGGAAATTAAAGTAAGTAATGAAAGATTCGAAGGAAAATATAGCTGGTGGTGTGGAGGTTTGCTTGTGTAGACATCTCACGAAAATGAAAATATTTCATATATGTTTCACATTTCAAATAAATTAGAATCTTTTGTTTCTTTTAAAAATGGAAGTTAGTAAAAAGGTTTGCATCATCGATGTTGAGTAATGATGTGTGTGGGTTTTTCTTAACGATGAATCTTCACTGCCACACATCTTTTTGACTTGTATTTACTACATAAACTCTAGATAGACCAAAAAAGTGTGCGCATAGGAGCAAACTAGGATAAAAGTCAGAATCTAAGATTTCAACTCTTAAGATAATAATCTTTGAAGTATTTTCATCTAAGCTATCCTTACAGATTAAATATATTTTTTTTCTATTTATTTTTATCTTCTCTCTCTTTTATTATTAAACATGACTTCCTTATATAGGAAAACTACATAAATTTAGGGCATAAGTTAAATCCTTCAACATCTGCTTTGAAGCTCTTCTTTGATGCGATTCATTAATAACAAGAACTGAATATAGAAGTTGCCTTGCATCTTCATGTTCAAAGCTTCAGGACATATGCATTGCACTTATCTGTAGAATTGCTTAACCTCTCTCTCTCTCCCCAATAGATGTCTACTCATGCACAGAGATGATGATGTCAAACAAGTTACAAGGAAATGTAGTCAACAGCTGTTTGAGCATCCATTTTCACTTCATAACTTCGTAACAGCTTCACTGCCACATTAGTAGCAAAACTAACGACGCCAATATCTCTTAAGAGACCACCTACCCACATCTGTCTAACCACTTTCTAGTAATTGCTATTTCCTCCCACTTATCCAACTTCAAAGTGTTAGGATTGACATTAAAAAGTTGGGAAAGGATACCAGCTGGTTAGGATTGATTCTAATCGATATCATTCAATCGTAATTTGTTTACATTTTAACTTTCAATATTGTAGAAAATCTCACATTTTGTCATAATATGCCTCATGAAAGGAGATTAAATTGATTATGACACAATATATGGTTTCTTTTTCTGGTAAATATTGGTCATAATGTCAGCTCAGTCATAAATAAGGGCAATCAAATCGAGTTTTAAATTTTAATCTAAGGAATATAAACTTAACACTTCCAAATACACAAGCCTGAGAAATTTTCGTTAACAAAAACACCACAAAAGATGGTCTAGAACATAACTCCCACCACTGCAGAGTTTGAGAGGCAGAACACAACAAGCATTTCAAAGATACTTTGAAAGGGATAAGGCTGCTCACAATTTTTTAACTCTTTTTCAAAAATTTTCCAATAACTTTTGATTATGAATTCTATTAGGTTTGATATATTTAACTAGACTTTCATCAATACACAACAAAGGATTGTATTAAAAAAAAAGAAGAGAGAATTCAGTAGTGGGGAGGAATCAAACCCCTTGATGGGAGACATTGTTACAACATGGGGCATGAAACTATATTCTACACATTTCTCTACTGAGAACTAATCATTCAGTGAGACCATTGTAGAGGGCCCACAAAAAATGGACGGCCTGGATCAATGAGCCTGTGGGCCAACTTTAGTAGGGTCATTAACACCCACCACTGATCTTTATGGTGCCAGCAATGCCCCTCTACATAAAAAAGAAGAGAGATAGAGAGCGGGAGTGAGGAATGATCCACCTGTTTATCAGTGATATATTTTGTACATTGGTTCAGCCAATGACCGGCATGTGTGGACCTCACCACCTGAGCCGACACCTGGAACTGATAAGGTATGGGCCCCCCCCCCATCGTCCTATTACCCAGCCCATCTCTCTCTGGAAGAGAAAAAAAATCTTAATCATAGATGCTGTAAACGTGAGATTCATGGCAGAGATAAGAATCAGAATGAAAGTAGTTTTTTATACTACGTTACTACAGTAACACTGTTTCATTTTCCACTGTACAGAGAGAGAGAGAACATAAGATCAAGCCCAATTTCAGCTAAGGTACGAATTCATAGCATATCATGCAAAACAAAGCATTACAAGTAGCTTTGGGCGAAAAATTGCACAGGCAATGATGACAAGGTATTGTGTAGTAAAAAAACAAATGAGACTTTTCAACAAAACCAGCCAATATCAATGTTAAAATATATGTCTTCACAAACCCTAAAGACCCCCACCCCACATTAATCACACACAAAAAAAAATTGGAATATAAATAAATAAAAAAAACTCAAATTTATGCAAATCAAACCTCACGTGTGTTAAACATCAAACTACACAATTGAAGGATGATCTATGAATGGTGACTAGTTGTATCATGCCGATCATCGCCTCCGTGGTGTGAGTGGGACCCACTTGCCTGAGATTCCGATACACCACCACCGGACCGATAGGGGTTTAGCCCACCAAACATGCCCAATTGTACCTCACCAAAACCACCACCACCACCACCACCGCTACTGCCAATACCCGAGCCTAGCTGCTGGCTTGGCAATAGTGCCACAGGAGTTGGGAAGTTCATAAAATGTAACCCACTAGACATAGTGCCTCTATACAAAGCAGCACTATTATTAACAGAAGGAAAGGTCCATATAGGGTCACCACTCATGACCTGGTTATTANTACACAAGCCTGAGAAATTTTCGTTAACAAAAACACCACAAAAGATGGTCTAGAACATAACTCCCACCACTGCAGAGTTTGAGAGGCAGAACACAACAAGCATTTCAAAGATACTTTGAAAGGGATAAGGCTGCTCACAATTTTTTAACTCTTTTTCAAAAATTTTCCAATAACTTTTGATTATGAATTCTATTAGGTTTGATATATTTAACTAGACTTTCATCAATACACAACAAAGGATTGTATTAAAAAAAAAGAAGAGAGAATTCAGTAGTGGGGAGGAATCAAACCCCTTGATGGGAGACATTGTTACAACATGGGGCATGAAACTATATTCTACACATTTCTCTACTGAGAACTAATCATTCAGTGAGACCATTGTAGAGGGCCCACAAAAAATGGACGGCCTGGATCAATGAGCCTGTGGGCCAACTTTAGTAGGGTCATTAACACCCACCACTGATCTTTATGGTGCCAGCAATGCCCCTCTACATAAAAAAGAAGAGAGATAGAGAGCGGGAGTGAGGAATGATCCACCTGTTTATCAGTGATATATTTTGTACATTGGTTCAGCCAATGACCGGCATGTGTGGACCTCACCACCTGAGCCGACACCTGGAACTGATAAGGTATGGGCCCCCCCCCCATCGTCCTATTACCCAGCCCATCTCTCTCTGGAAGAGAAAAAAAATCTTAATCATAGATGCTGTAAACGTGAGATTCATGGCAGAGATAAGAATCAGAATGAAAGTAGTTTTTTATACTACGTTACTACAGTAACACTGTTTCATTTTCCACTGTACAGAGAGAGAGAGAACATAAGATCAAGCCCAATTTCAGCTAAGGTACGAATTCATAGCATATCATGCAAAACAAAGCATTACAAGTAGCTTTGGGCGAAAAATTGCACAGGCAATGATGACAAGGTATTGTGTAGTAAAAAAACAAATGAGACTTTTCAACAAAACCAGCCAATATCAATGTTAAAATATATGTCTTCACAAACCCTAAAGACCCCCACCCCACATTAATCACACACAAAAAAAAATTGGAATATAAATAAATAAAAAAAACTCAAATTTATGCAAATCAAACCTCACGTGTGTTAAACATCAAACTACACAATTGAAGGATGATCTATGAATGGTGACTAGTTGTATCATGCCGATCATCGCCTCCGTGGTGTGAGTGGGACCCACTTGCCTGAGATTCCGATACACCACCACCGGACCGATAGGGGTTTAGCCCACCAAACATGCCCAATTGTACCTCACCAAAACCACCACCACCACCACCACCGCTACTGCCAATACCCGAGCCTAGCTGCTGGCTTGGCAATAGTGCCACAGGAGTTGGGAAGTTCATAAAATGTAACCCACTAGACATAGTGCCTCTATACAAAGCAGCACTATTATTAACAGAAGGAAAGGTCCATATAGGGTCACCACTCATGACCTGGTTATTCGAATTGGCCACCATCCAAAAATTCGCCGGAATTGAGGCATGACTTGCCGGCATAGCTCCCGTGCTCGACTGCAACAAGTAACTCCCCATTTGGTGTTGCAGCTCTTGCTCCGCTCTACGCTTCCGCCCTATACTCTCCTCAGTCTCCAATAACTCCAGTGAATTGTCTCTTAACTCTTGCTTTGCTTGCAACATAGGGTTTAGATTTGAGTTTTGAAAATTCAGAAGTGTCGTCGATGAATTCTCCGGTGATAATCCGATTCCCGGAAACAGATTTCTTCTCTGTGGAAGTGAAAAGTTTGGATTGAAGTAAGTAGATCGTAGCTGAGATGGTACGGACATGCTCGAACCTGAGCTTCGAAGTGAGATGTTGAGTGAAGTGAAATTTGCGGGGATTGTTCCGGTGCCGGTGGCTGCTATGACGGCGGATTCGGCCTGTTGAAGTAGCCATTCGATGGTTTCGCCGTCGGACTTGTGTCCCAGCTCGCGAGTGAGCTGGAAAACCCTAGCGGCGCACAGTGCCGGCATGCGGATACGCCGGCCACGGCCATCGACCTTGGTGTGTCTATCTTTGGTTGAGGTTCTCTTTGGTACTGGCTTCTTTGATGTCTCGGCGGAGATTTGGAGAGTAGAAGAACTGGGTCTTGTAGGGTTTGTGTCGGCCGATATGGCTAGTGATTGATTGTAGCCGGAGCTTGAACAGGCTTCTTCTTCTTTCTTTTCTAGCAATTGGAATGGAAAGTTTGGCCTGTGGAGATGATCATCACTTCCTTCCATGATCACATGTGATACCTCTCTCTCTCTCTTTCTATTGTTCTTTTTATGAGAAATAGTATTTGACCCTTAATTTAATCTCCTAATGGGTCTCTCTTTCCCTCTCTCTCTAAAACATAAACAGTTGATCTTTCTCTCTCTCTATAGATGCCATGGAATTCCTTTCACATTCGATGTGCTGGTGCAGCTTGAAAGAGAGAGAGAGAGATAGAGAGACAGAGAGAGAGAGGATAAGGAAGGCAGGCAAGCTTTAAGCAACAAAGATAATGAGTGGGAATTATTTGGGTCTGAGCTTTAAAAAGCAAAAAATTTTAGCAAAAGAAAAGAAATTTCTTCGTTGAGCTCTTTTCATTGTCTTCAAAAATGATTGAAATGCTTTCTATAATTAATTTTTTTTTATTTTTTTTTCCTAAATGAATCTAAGGGGGGTTGGCTCCTTTTATTGTGGTTGGACAGAGCCTTTGGTTCAGACTCCACGTGAGGTGCTCTTTTTATCATTCAATCCATAAAGACAATGGTGGTCGAGGTGGGTCCCAATCCCAAGTCAAAAAACTGAGAGACTTAGAAAGGAAAGATTTATCAAAGTGGGGGTGGATCCCATCTCATTCATGTAATCATTTCGTTTTGCCTTTGGCCCTTTGCCTTTGTTCTGCAACTTTGCTGGGATGGGTGTGCTTTGGGATTCCTTGATCTTGCCCTTTCCTTTTGGGCCTTGTTTAGGTTTTAGGGTTTCCCAATTCTACTAGCATAGCAATCTTTTGAGACCTTTCACTCTAGTCGCTGCATATTGTGTTTGTGTTTTAGGGTTGGATATCTTAGTTAGAGGTTAATAGATCTAAACCCTAAATGTAAAGAGCAAAGGGTAAGAGTCGAATAATTGACTCCTTCCTTTGGAATGCATAACAGCACTCCGACTATTGTGCTATAATTCTTTGGAGTGCATAGAGCTTCAGGGTAGAACTCAATTTGGTAATGTTATAATAAAATATAGTTGTTTGAAATCAACCCTAATATTTTTGGACGGATCTTATCTTTTATGTTAGAATGTGATCTCATTCACTAGTAACTAGACCAACAAAAATTATAACTTTTTATAATTTTCGGTACATTATTTTCTTTGATATTATAGCAATATCTAGATGAGATTCATTCCAAGCTAATTAATTTGGATAACATTAACCCTAGTATTGATGCCAACACCAATTTTAGGAAATTCCCAAATTCCAGTGTGAGTTTGAGTAAACTTAGAATCAAGTTTAGATGTAACTTGAGCTGAATCTATATTTTAACTAAAGTTGTTGTACTCGTGAATTGGACATAAATAGAACTTGAATTTTAATCTGAGTTGTGTAATACAAATTCACAAACTTAAAGCATGGGCAATACTTGAGCTAAAGAGTTTGGGTTATTTTTGGGTTTCGAATAAATTCGGGTTGGGTGTTATATTAATTGGATTGAACCCATGGTCACCTTTTCTCCGACCTGCTCGAATTGCATCTCTAGTTTTTTTCTGCATACTAATTCTTCTATTGGGATTGATTGTCTAACATTCACAGGTTGAAGTTCCTTAACTGCACTTGAACTACAAATCAAGTAAATTCCAAAACTAATTTCGTGTCTAAAATTATTTCGATACCTTTGGAAACGCCAATTTAGACTTCAAAAATGGTAGTAACGGGTTGGATCTTTCATGCCAGCTAAGGAACTTGGTCACCTACATAATTCTTTAATAGCATTACTGATTCTTTAATCCCCTTTTGTTGTGACAAAACATAAGAAATTAATGGTGTGACTGCAAGACTCCCACTCTGTAAAGAAGGCAGATATGTATTTTTTGGGGGGTCTTCGAGAAGGCAGATTTCAAATACTTGTTTAAAGCGGGCCTACACATATCAAATTCAATCTACATTGTTTATCCTATCTACAATAATTTCTGCTACATCAGTGCATAGAAAAAGGTATATAATGACTCTCCATCTAATGGTTCTTTCAAAGCAAAAAATAAAAAAAATAAAAAAAAATGATGGCATATATTTATTTGGTTTCCATGAATTTCCCAGTTTCCTCAGTCTTAGTCTACCATTGGTAATAAATTTATGTGGGATCCACCATATATGATGGTCCCCAGTCTCCACCAATATAATACGAATGATTTTTCGTCGAGAAAATTGAGTGAAAGTATAATTGTGAGGATTTGGATTCATATCAATGGATGTGCATGAGAAAAACTATGATATTCCATTTGTCATGGTGGAAATGTTTTACAAGAAACTTGGCCACTGGAATTGAAGGATCCTGTCCCCCCCTCCCCCAAAAAAAAAATAAAATTGAAGGATCAAATGGAGTCACTTGACACTAAAATTGGGACTTCAAGAAATTATAAGTCCAACCTTTTAATCTATATGTTGATGAAACATTAATGCATGAAAATCCGTAAGCAAGTGAGAAAAGAAAAAAAATCTCTCTGTTTTTTTTTTGTTTGTTTCAATAGTCAAGAGAGTTTGGACTAATTTACAAACACTTTGATTAATTCCCTCTTTGGTCCGATCACAAATAGACCGTTCACATCGAAACTAGGGTATGTATGATGAATAAAAGAGATCGTTACCATTTACGAGGGAATCTTTTGAACCAAAGAAGAGAGGAAAAATGAGAATTACAGAAACATACTCAAAAATTTTCGCCCGTATCGTGTTTAGTCTCTATGTTTTGTCAACCGGTGCCAAACCCAAGTTAAGAAGAAGGGTACCATTAAGAAGTTGGCAATCAGCAAAAACTTCTTAGCATCAATTTTCGGGGAGTTCGCTTGCTTGTTTCTTTAAATTTCTGAAGAGTTTCCAAAGTGATTTTGTAACAAGAAGTTCAATTTTATTTTTTCCCGACGTGGGATTGAGTGTCTTGGACAACGACTTGCGAAGCCATACCATCCGAGTAAATGAACCCAAGCAACATATGTGGTAGCAGTTGGAGCTCCGACAGTTGCTGCAACTGCAAACTTCATGTTGAATAACGGTAATTTATAATTGAGGGAATCACACTTTATACCCTAAAATATTTCAGACTTCCAATTTTATACCCTCAAAAACAATTTTATTTTTTTGTATTATACCCTCGGTGTATTAAAAATATTGCAATATAATTTTTCTGTTAACTTCTATTATTTTATCTATCAATGTCAAAGGGTTGATCCCTAAAATTTTAATTGTAAAAATTATATCATTAAAATTTTAATTGAGTTTCAATTTAGTCATTCCATTCAGATCTATTACATTGTTTTGATAGAAGAATGTCATAGGATTTGCCCATAAGGGTGTATTTGTCTAGGGAAAAAAAACTTTTAAATTCATCGATATTTCTCTCTCTATCTCACAATATCTCTCTACTTCTTTCTTTGCATATCTTTTTCTGGGTTTGTTATCTTCTTGTTTCTCAAAATTAAATGAAACAAAATAAGGTTCTTTAGCATATGCATAAAAGATATCATACCAGACAAATATATCCATTTACCCAAGTCGCATGTTGATCACAGAAGGTCAATCTATCATTATACATTAGTGATTTTGAATGTAAGGACTAAATTGAAACCCAATTATAAAATTTTAAGGATCAAACAAAAATAATAATAAGGACTAGGTGTGTACTTTACAGGTATAAAAATGGTAATTTCTCCTTGTTTTATTATGTGCGAGTTTTGATGATAATGAAAATTTAGCTACTAACTGCTGTTTTTCTTTATGTTACATTGGCTAGGTTTATATCTTGCCTTGCATTTTATGGATAAACTAGTTAATGTCTGTGTTTAAAGGTACTGTATATTATAAAAAATTGTTAAGTAGCAAAAAACATAAACCTCCATTTGAGAATTGGTCGAATTTCCACAAAGTTGAATTAATTTGGACTCTTAAATTTCATTATATATTCTGCAAAATTTCTTATAAAAAAAGAATCTCAAAATCATCAAACTGGCCGTCATGTCATAATCCTGTCCTAGTCCAATCATTTATGGATAGATTNATATATTATAAAAAATTGTTAAGTAGCAAAAAACATAAACCTCCATTTGAGAATTGGTCAAATTTCCACAAAGTTGAATTAATTTGGACTCTTAAATTTCATTATATATTCTGCAAAATTTCTTATAAGAAAAGAATCTCAAAATTATCAAACTGGCCGTCATGTCATAATCCTGTCCTAGTCCAATCATTTATGGATAGATTAGTAAAACTGATAAGGCCATTCCAAATCAAATGAAGTTATTTCTTCAAGGAAACTTGTGTTGTTCAAACATGGTATGTATCCAAAGATGACAATTTTAGAGGATCTCTCTCTCTCTCTCTCTCTCAAAAAAAAAAAAAATTCAACTGCGATAGAATTGGGTTAACGTAACTTAGAGGAAGGTTATCGGGATCCAATTCGAAGATGTAAATGTCTAGACTTAATTCAACGTGAACATTAAATCAATGATGGGTCCCAACATTAAATGAACTCCCAATAATAAATAAGTACAATGCATTTAACCCCTAAATTAAGTCTTTAATTATGCACCCATAGCATTATTAGGCAACTTATCTGTTACCATTGATTTGTCTATATAATTTGAACAATTTTTCTACGCGATCATTCCAATCAAGTCAAAGTACGGGTCTAACAAGAATTTATAACTCAATTAGAGTCGATTTAGAGCCTATTTAAAAATTTTGTATCTATCACAACTTTTAAATATCAATTCTAAATTTTTAGACCTCAAGGAGTAGTAATTTTGATCTTACTAACTTTTTTGGGTACGGTGCCTTTTTGATACCATGATCTTTTCCTAACTTGTGAGCGGTGAGTTGCTTTCTTCTTCATCTTTTTGCTTGTCATCTTACAACAATTTGTGCAGTGCAGTAGCAAAGCAAGCAGCTTTATAATTTCCATCATTCGGAATATACATCACTACATACATGTACCACATATAGCACTATCATGGAAATTCACTTTGAACAAAAATGGGATTTGAAGGC